GGCTTATTTCAAAAGACAACCGCATGAAGTGGTAATTATAAAAATGTGTTGATGGACTTATTGGGCATAAAGATGTAATTTGTATGTCTGTAACAGCACAAAGGAAGAGGGAAGAAACAGGAACACTGTAGCAAAAATTTTATGTATGATTTAAATCAAGTTGCTATTAATCTAAAGTAGATTGTAGTAAAATATTAATTATAATCCTTAGGGCAACACTGAGAAAATAGCTCAAAATAAAATCAGTTTAAAAAAATCAACACTGGAGTTAAATGGTACACTAGACAATACATATTCAACAAAAAAGGGCAAGAATTGAGTAATAAAGAAACAAAAAGACAGAAGACATATAGAAAATATCAAAATAACAGATGTAATTTCTACTTTACCAGTAATTACATTAAGCACTAGAAGATTAAACACTCAAATTTAATTTCAGTCACAATGATTGGAAGAATGGACTTAAAAAATAGTATCCAGCCTTATGCTAATGGAAACAATTTAGATTGAAAAACATAAATATGTTGAAAGTAAAATGATGGGAAAATATCTATCATGAAATCAATAATTAAAAGAGAACTAGAATAACTACACTAATATTGGAAAACAACTGACTTTAAGACAAAAAAAAATTGTTACTGGAGATAAAGAATTTTTTATAATGATAAAAGGGCCAATGAGGGGCTAGGATTGTAGCTTAGTGGTAGAGTGCTTGCCTTGCAGGTGTGAGGCACTGGGTTGGATCCTCAGCACCACATACAAATAAATAAATAAAGGTATTGTGTCCATACCCAACTAAAAATAAATTTTAAAAGGGTCAATGACTCCAGAAAACAAAGTAATAAATGTATATGCGCCTTAACAATAGAGCCCCAAAGTACATGAAGCAAAACCTGATGGAATCAAAAGCAGATACTAACAATTCAACTATTTTAGCTGAAAATTTTAATACTCCCACCTTCAATAATGAATAGAACAACTAGGCAGAACACCAAGAAGTAAATAGAGTACTTGAACAATACTATAAGCAAACAAACATCTATGGAATACTGGAGGACAGCAGAATACATATTATTCTCAATTGCCCATGGAACATTCTCCAGGATGGATCATATGCTAAGCCACAAAATGAGTCTCAATAAATTTAAAAGGGTCAAAATCATAAAAAAAGTATATTGTTTAACTGCGGTAATTAAAATAGAAAGTTATAATAGACATCTGAGAAATTCACAAATATGTGGAAATTAACCCACTGCTGACTAATCAGTGATTAAAGAATTAGGAAGGTTAGAAAATACTTTAAGATAAAGAAAAATGAAGTTACAACATGTAGAAACTTATGGGATGCAGTTAAAGCAGTTCTCAGAGGGAGATTTATATGAAATGTTCTAAATGTGCTAACCCATTGATACAGTGGTTGCCAGGGGAAGGAGCTGTGACTACTAATGGGCATGGGGTTTCTTTTAAAAGTGATAAAGATATTCTAAAATTAGGAAACAGTAAATGTTGAACAATTTTGTTACTATACTAAAACCTGCTAAAATGTATAATTTAAAATGGTGGTTTTTATAGTATGTGAATTATGTGTGAATGAGATGTTATTTTAAAATATACTTTAAAAAATCCCTGACATTAACAGTAGAATGCTGCTCATGTGATTTCTGAGAACACAACCATACACAGTATGTATAGTTGTATAATTAATATAGTAATACTCAGGATGTAATGATGTGTATAAATGTAAGAGAGAGTTTTGTAGTCGCTTTTTCTATCACTCTATTGTGGCTACTGATGAATTTCATAAAATAAATTTGCATATAATGAAATTTTGCTGTAGTAGAAAAAGCACAGGATTAAGAGTCATGGGACTCAAATTTTAGGCCCAACTCTGCTATTTAACTTCCTCTTCCAGGCCTTTGCTTTCTACATCTGAAAATTGAGGAACTTATAAACTATAAGACCTTTAATGTTCCTTTTGGTGCTAAAATTCTATAAAATATAATAATTACATTTTTTTCTTTAGTTGCACTAAATCACAAGAATGAGATGGATACTGCCAAGTTAACAAACTCCCTGGATATTTCTCAGGCAGTACAAAAGTGCTCTTAAAAATATGAAGGTCACTTTCAGTCTTATCATACTAACTCACTGGGCTTTACCGTTTATCTCTGCTCTTAATTTTCAAGTAACAGATACTTTAGTGAAGTTGTATTGGAACAATGGGTGAAGGCATAGGGTAGAATTGTGAGGTGACTCACTTGGAGCTGCTGTGACTTAGAATGGGTTAGAGGTAAAGGCTAAGAAGAGAATTCACAAGACCAGAGCTAGGCATGAACTTCTGAACCTCTGTACCTTCATCAATTTATTTCACATTCAAAATGTGTTTTCTTGTGTGGGTAGAACACTGTTCAGGAAAAAGAATTATCTTAACATTCTGGTTTTGTTGATTGATATGTAGAAATACAGAAACACACATATTGCTTAACAATACAAATAATTTGCACCTGAAATTCATTTGCTTAGTCCCTTGGAGCCCTACAGAACAAAATGTTTGTAACAAATACAGCTGTGCTGGAGATACTCTTGCGTTAGGGAAAAAAAAAATTGGTCTCTGGTCCAAGGAGCTTATAGTCCAAAGGAAATCAAGAAAGAGTTTTGAAAAAACTGGCTTCTAGTTTGAGTTTGCTATTTCTCAAAATGAATGCTGCACTTTTATGGTGGCGTGACTTTGTTCTTGCTGGGTTTTTATTTTTTTAAAGCTGAAATGCCTGTTCTCTTTACCAGCCATCAAAAGCTTACCCAGTCTTCAAGGCCCCACTTAAACGTCACTTCTTTGAAAAGCTTTCCCCATCTCCCACCCTCCCCCAGTCTGATGTCTTTCCCACCCTATTTTGTCTTCTTGCAGTCCTTTTCTTAGTCTCCATTACACTATGCACAGCCACGCATATTAGATTTTTTTCCCTTGTGATTTAGGGGTCAGGACTCTGTTTTATTCATCCAGCTATCTCCCTGGCCACTTCTAGAAAGAAGAAAGAATTTTTGGAAACATAAAGGAAAATGTATATTTAAATAATGTTAGTTATATATTCAGATAATATGTTATGTTTAGATACTTTGCAGACAAAATGCCTCCAAGTTTAAAGCCATGGGTGCAATTATTAATCTGGGAAAACTTTTAATTGAACGAGTTTCCCTGTTTTTAATTTTTTAAGATCTTGAAGGTGGTACTATCTCCAAAGGAGATCCTCAATAATTCTTTTGTTGAATTGTACTGAAGCTGTTTTTAATCTCTGCACCTCTTCGTTCTCATCTACAAAATGGGAATACTATCTGCTCTATCTCTTCCACAGGAATATAACAAGGGAAAAGGAGAAATGACTATGGAAAAGGCTGAACCTTTATAGAAATGTAAAATGTTGTTCTCATTAAGTACCCGAAGATTTACTTTGTGTCCATATTGTAGCATTTGAGTATGCGGACTTTGGCTAACCCCATTGCAGCTGCATTAAGGATTCTCCATGAGCTGCTTAAGAGGAGAAGCCAAAAGGCTGATTACAGCTTAGGGCCCCATCACAGCCATCAAAAGTTACCAAAGGGATTCTGGGACTTCAAGTTTGTTTCCAATTGTGCAGGAGGAAAGTCACGGCCTCAGCCACCTGCTTCCTGTCTCCACCATGACTCACACCTTTCAGGTTCACTTGGATAGAAGTTCAGATGAGATATGCTCAGGCCCACTGCCCTGGGATATTGATAGTTCTAAGGCTCAGGTACCTGTGTGAAAGGAGGGGTATGAAGCTGGGACCTGAGACCCATGGGGATTGAGTCAAGGTCACAAGACACATTTTAGCTTACACAGAAAAATAATTTCAAGCTTCATTACTGGTGTAAGCATGAGGCTTATTGCCCCTCAATAGGATGCACTGAGGGGGATGCAACATCATTCTTATGATAGCCTGGCTCCAAATGCACAATCTGAATGTAATCACAAGGAAATAGCAGACAAATCCAAATTGAAGGACATTCTACCAAGTAACTGACCTATTCTCTTCCTTTCTATAACATACTGTACCAAAAGATTAAGTCTCAGGAACTTTTCCAAATTAAAGAAGACCACAAGGATAGTGTAATTGAATGCAATGTGTTCTATCCTAGATGCTGAACCAGAAAAAGAAGATTACTGAGAATTGACAAAGTTTGAATACAGACTGTATTATGTCAGTGTTAAATTTCCTGATTGTGGTTATGAAAGAAAATACTATTGTTCTTAAAAAATACACACTTTAGCATTCAGCGTAAAGGAGCATGATGTTTGCAACTTAATCTCAAATGATTCAGAAAAATAGTAAAATGCATATAGGTATGTCTGTGAGGTTAGGGAGAGAGAACACACAAAAAGGTGATTTTATCTCCAAAGGGGATCCTCATTAATTTGGGAAAAATAAAAACAGCTGGTGAATCTGTACAAAGGAAATACAGAAGCATTTATTAGTCTTAAAACTTTTTTAATATTTATTTTTTTTTAGTTTTTAGGTGGACACAACATCTTTATTTTATTTTTGTGTGGTGCTGAGGATCAAACCCAGTGCCTCATGCATGCTAGGCAAGCGCTCTACCACTGAGCCACAACACCAGCCCAGTCCTTCAACCTTTTTTTGTAAGTTTGAAAAGATATAAAAATAGCAAGTGTTTAAAATAGTGCATTATATAAAAATTCAAGTGTTTATTTTATTTTACAGTTTATTCTAGAAAATTATATGATTTATTACTTGTTTGTTTTTTTAAACAGTCTTAAGGAAGAATAATTTTAAAAATAAAATGATACACTGAAAATTCTACAGTGAAGAAAATAGTGAGGCCCTGTAATGCTGCCACTTGTGAGCTTGTTCTAGTCCTTCAATAATTAAAATCATTTTTAGACTTATATTGAAAAAAAAAACAAGCAAGCCACAAGTTCCTGCAAGCCCAACCAGGAGAAACGGTTTAACAATACCAACACTCACCTCAATGGGTTTATGGATGATGGGTCTTCAGCCTAAATGAACCAGACATGTCAGTTGAAAAGTTGAACGACTCAAGTGTGCAGAACAAATACCCAAGCTGCCTCTAGCACTTTGGGGAAGGTAATGATTACACTTCCCAGAAGGAAGGCAGGGGCAGAAAGGCACAAGGCAAAGATATACTAAAATGCAGCGTAGCGTAGGAGGTTCATTATGGGCAGCAGAACAACAGTAAAGGCTGCTCCCATCTTGGAATGTGAATATTAACAAGCTTTGGTGTTCAGCAAAGAATAACTGAAAGCTAATTGTAAAAGTAACTTTCATCCATCTCACAGTCTCTGAGTAAACGTCTACTGAGACAGGTCAGAAAATTCTGAAACCAAATAGCTCAGCAGGATAATCAGAAGGTCCTTGTCAGGATCAATATCAGAAGTTAAAGGGTAATTAAGGGAATGGAATGGACATTAGGAATGATAGGACAGGCAACAGCTGTCTGATGTAGACAAATTAAAAGTCTGATGTAGAAAAAATAAAATGAAAATGGATGTCAGGCGGTAGCATGCTGTTCAATGTTTAACAACTGACTTTCTATGGGGAAAAGAAATAACTGATTTTCATGGTGTAAATATTCCCACTGTGGCCAAGTTCAAGTTACCAACATGATGTTACTGAACACAGGAAGTGATATACACAATCAGCTCTCAAAAGCTAGTGTGAACTGACTCTAGCATTACACTGGTAGTGACCTCAGTACCAGTCCCATAGCTAATTATGTTTTCCTGGTAAGTAACTTAGCCATTTAGGTCTCAATTTTCTCATCTGTAAAATGGCAACCTCATAAGTTAGTGAAAGAATCAAATGAAATGAATTCATCTCCATCTGAGGGGTCTTCCACCACCTGTCACCATTTATGGGTCTGTGATGGAGTTAGCCTTTTTTTTCCCTCTCTTAATCTCACATCAAGTCTTGTGAATCAGAAGAAAACAAGAGAATTTTAGAGGAACCTGCTTCATAGTGTAGTCATCAGAGGTGAAACCATGTACATATTCTTCAGGTATAAGAAATTTAAGGCAGTGGCCACCTTGCATATTTTATACAGGAGAGATTTCTGGGCAGCAATCTGCTTGGAAAGTACAGCTAGGAAATTTATGTACTTCTATTATTACTTGTGGTTCTGGTTATGGAACCCAGGTCCTTGAAGGTTCCATGCTAGTCCCCTAGCCCCTACACTTCTATTATCTTAATGATATATTTATTTGGGATAGCTAAAGAGGTGCAAATGGTGCCAAAGCCACTGCAATATGTTTGTGTCTTTTCTCAAAACACTGCACCAGAATCTGCCACACAATAAACAGAGTAAAACAAGAGTCTACTCATAGATGTCCAGCAAATCTAAAGGGAGTAACTTGGTGCAAGTGTTTCTTGACTTCTATCTTTATGTTACTTCCCTTGACTGGTACCTGGTGTTGCCCTCAAAGGGTATCAATTTACTATGTTTCTGAACTGGGGAGGCAAATGTTCAATCCATCCCCCAAGACATTGTTTGGTTACACTATTACCTCAGAAGGAGGTACATGGGATCTTTGTACTTCTTCCTTTTGGAAAAGATATAGATGTAACTGGAAATCTAAAAAAAAGCAAGTGTCTGAGGAATAAATAAAAGTGACAAGAAGCTTGATCCCTGTTGGGATTCTCAGGACATCAAGCTAGCAGAGCCAGATGAAGGGAAATTCTGGCTTTAATATGCCATTGAAGTAGAATAGAAGAGAAAACTTCCACCCTGCCATTCAAGAAACTGAGTGCAAAGGAGTTTAGTAAGGTATAAGAGACATAATACCTTGTGCTTCCGGAGGCTGCCAGGACTGGTAGGCGTAGAGATGGGAGACTGCTTAGACTTGGGGGTAGAGAGCTGGCTGCTGGAGGTTCCGTTTGCTAGCCCAAGGCAAGAGAAAAGGAAGGGATAAAAATCAACAGCATACAAAGGAGCAAGTTATCCGACCCCTCTGAAGACACTAAGAACATTCAAACAAGGCACACAGACAACCAAGTGATTTGATGAGCAGAACAAAGGTGAAAAGAAACACATTCCTGAAAAGGACAAGAACTGCAATCCTCAGTTAATTAGGTCCCTATGCAGTGCAAGGCAGACATCCTCCCACCCTTCCCACCAGAGCCCTCCCTGAGTGCTTCCCAATCACAGGGGCCTGTTTCTTTTCAAACCTTTTCATATTCATTCCCAGGTCTGACCCTAACATCTCTGGGAGGTAGTCTGGACAAGTATTAGTTTACTTTAAGTTTAGAGAGGAGAAAAGTGAGGCACAGAGAGGTTATGTGCCTTACATAAAAGGCAAGAAATATAAGTGCTTCAGACCAGGGTGCATCTACTTTGGTGGCAGATGATGGAGTAGGAGTGGGACAATACCGATGTAGATCTGTTTCCCTCTCTTTTCCTGTTCACCTCCGCCTGCCTTTGCTACCTCATTCTAGGTGGAAAAAAAAGGATTGTAAGGAAAGAAAGAGAAAGTAGGCTAATCAGGAAGAAGAATGAAAGGGAATGTAGAGGAGAAAAAGAAATTGAAACATAAAGAAGGGCCCAAACAGAAAAATGGGGCAGGGGAGAGAATTAGAGAGGCAGGGAGGAGCTGGGAATAGGGGAGAGGAAGGGTTGAAAAATATTGGTTAAGAGAAGAATGAGAACTGGGAGAAAGGCATAGAGACAAAGGTAGACAACTGTGGCCAGAGTCAGCATATATCCTCATTTGTCTCTAGTCAATAAAATGCTGATTTAGTTTTGAACATCTTTATATTCCATTTTTCTTTGAAATTGCTTTTTATTCCCTTGCTAATGAGTTTTTTAATATCCAATTGTGAAAAAGAAATGTGTTGCATTGAAATGGAAAAATTAAACAGTTTTCAAAGTGGATTCATGTTCAGACATCTCATACTGAAGTGATTTTTTTTTAATTTTAGGGACTACATTGTTAAACAGAGATATTCTGAAATGTGTTTTAAAAAAAAAAAGCAGGGGCTGGAGTTTAGCGCAGTGGTAGAGCTCTTGTCTCATATGTGTGAGGCACTGGGTTCAATTCCCAGCATCACATATAAATAAGCAAATAAAATAAAGGTCCATCGACAACTAAAAAATTTTTTTTCAAAAAAAGCAAATTTAGAGAGTGAAGGAGAGAGAAAGTATTGAAAGAGAGAGAAAGAATAAACAGAAAATTGAGCAAGTAGAAAGATGACCTGAGAATGCCACTGTTAGTCCAACAGATAAAGTTTAAACTGTGTTATCATGAATATTTTCTGAAGATATACTTCTACACTATTTATAGTTATGTTTCCCTAGGTTCTGGAATATGCATAGCAATGGTAGAGATGGAAAATATATAGTGTGGTGGTTGCTGAATTTATCCAAGTGCAAATGAGTTGGAAAATAAGCACACAATCTCCCACCACTGTCTGGTTTTTGAGAGGCTTCCCTCCTCATCATTCATTTGTTTAGCCAATAGTTATAGAGTACTGCTCATGAGTCAGGCAAAGTACTAGATATTCAGGCAAAGTACTAGAAAGTGATAAAGATAAAGATAAAGGGTTTCAGAGATGAATAAGAAACTTCCTGTGGGGAGGCAGGTAAGGACACCATGGAGTAAGATTGAAGACAGAGCCATGCATAGGATATTTTTGAAGCCCAGGGTGGGGCGGGGAGGGAGATGCAACACCTGAGAAATCTTTAAAGAACAATCTGGTATAGACAAATCTATACAGAGAGTCAGCAGATTAACAGTTGCTAGGGCTGGGTGGGGAAAGAAGTTGGAGGGAAATGGAAAGTGGCTGCTAATTCATAGGAAGTTTCTTTTGGTGAGACAAAGTTATTCTGGCATTAAATCATGGTAATCGTTGCACAACTCTGTGACTGAACTAAAACCCATCGAATTGCACATTTTAAATGAATGAATTATATGTTATGTGAATTTACCTCAATAAAGCTGTTTTTTTTTAAAAAGATAAATGGGAACCAGCTACACCAAGAGGACAGAAGGGGTATTCTATACATTAGAATTGCACCAATGGGCAAAGTCATGAAAATGTGAAAGAATATAGTGCTTACACAGTGCAAGTAGCTTATAATGGCTCAAGTTTATAATGTCAGCAGGGAGTTCAAGGAGATGATGCTGGAGATAGAAGATAAAAGCCAGACCTTCAGAGTCTTTTGTGGGGCCTATTAAGTTTGGGTTTGATTTCTGAAAAAAGTCACAAAAAGATTTTAAGTTGAAAGTGATCTGAATTTCAGAACTATCACTTCAGCTGCCATGGTAATACTGGTTTGGAGTGGGCTGGGTTAAGGGTAAAAGAAACAGAGATGTTGCTTAGGTGATAATGATAATGGTGATAACCAAGGCAATGAGGAGAGAAAGAAGGGACTCAGCAATACAGAGGGACCTAGAGGCCAGATAAGCTTAGAGTGCTATGTATATATCATGTAAGCCACCCAAAGAACATGACCTGCACCAGGCAGCACAGAGAATGTGGGTGCCAGACTGCCAAAGCATCTGGCTTTCTGGCAAACAAAGGCTCCACTGTAGGAAAGGCAAGAGTCTGAGGAGTCACAACTGCTTGAAGCAGTCAGCTGCTCTTTTTAAGAAATGAGGGAGTTAATTAATGAAAGAGTTAATGGACCGCCTACAGTGCCTGAGGGCTTTCCCATCAGGACCTGGTCCCTAGCATTCGGGATAAGGAACAATCTTAGAGACCTGTGTGAGCTGACACCTGAAGTTTCCAAAAAGAGCCCTGGTATCAGCCTCCTGAGGTCTCTCAGATGTGGGCATCCCTGGGTAAGTTCTGGTGCTTTATTCTACAAGGTCACTATATACTTTGCAGATTCTAGTTGCCCAGCACTTGTCAGTCACGATGCAAAAGGATGACTATTATATCTCAAGTATTAAACTGTCTTTTTAAAAATCTACACACTTAACTGAGAATGAACCCATTGGCCTTGCCAAGATAAGAGAAATTGTTAGTCACAAACATGTCTACATGTGAGTTAGTTTCTATTGGCTACAGATCTTAACATATAGGTTTTTCCATAAGTTCCAGATTTTTTTCTCAATATATTCTAAAACTCTTTCACCCAGTAACTTTAGAAGCAGTATATAAATACATGTTCCATATATGCCTCTCCATATTATCTGCATATGTGTAAATGTTTATATATGCTCTCCAGGTTGCTACCTCCAGAGAATCAATCTTAAGCTAGCTGTAAATAAAGGATCTTACTTTGTCATCAGCATTCAACAAGCATTTTGAAGATCAGTTTTTAATAATTTAACTGCCATGCACTGCATTGTTGAAAAAATGCAGACACTTCCCAATATTTTCCCAGAGTTCCCTGATGGAATGGAATCCAAAGATAGACATAGAGAAATGAGAAAACATAGACATGCACAGGCAAAAGTAGGTTCCTTACAAGCTAAAAGAGCTCCTTCATTTAGAGCGTAGGTAAAAATATATTCATATACACATTTTTGCATTTGGATTCTATGGGGAAAAATCTGGAAAAGTGCCATTTGATATGGATTCTGAAGTCGATTCATATAAATGTCAACTAAAAGAAGCAGCAGGAAATAATGCAAATAGGATCTGATGAATTCTGTGTGCTCTTGGATTGGTAAACCCATTGTAGAAAGGCTGTCACATTTCATTTTGAGTGAGAATGGAAATGGCACCATTGTTTGATCTTCATTTTTCTTTATTCTACTTTATTAAATATCCTTAGCTCTCTGGTGGTTTGAAAATGCCTTGGGATGGGGGGCGTCTTCTCCCTCTTTGACTAGTTAGTGTCTTTCATTTTCTACCTCAGAACCACAGCTCTCACTATTCTCACCTTTTATTTATATATAGTCCAAATCCTCTCATTTCTTTCTTCTCTTTATACAGTTCATTTCCCCCTTTGCAACAAGGTATGTCAAAAACATTTCAAACCTTTTCAACAAATAAAGGATAATTATTATTTGTTGAGTGTCTATGGTAAGTCAGGTATGTGCTCTCTTCTCTCTCTCTTTCTCTTTCTCTCTCTCTCTCTCTCTCTCTCTC